GGCTGGGGGGATGGGTTAGCCCGGTGATGGGTATTAAGGAGGGCACGTACTGCATGGAGCACTGGGTGTTACATAGAAGCAATGAATCATGGAACACTACATCAAAATCTAATGATGTATTATATAGTGACTAACATAACATAATAAAAGAAAATTTAAAAAAAGATCATATGGTATGTATGGTTATTTCTTTTTTGCTTTCATCTCCCAAAAAAGATATGCATATGGAAAATTAAAGTTTTAATTTGTTCCATAACAGTTCATGTGAAAAGACAAAGCACCTGGTTGCTTTTTTCTGCTTGGTTATTCCTGTTGGAATCTGGAAAGTGGATGTGGCATCCTGTTTCCTCCATCACTTTTTTAATATTGTTGCCTCCTTTGCCGATTACATGAGAATGTTCTGTATGTGAAACATCCATCTTCAAGGTGACTCGATTGCTCTATATGGAAATAATGTATTAATTCTTGATGCATGATAAAGAAAGGAACAACTCTTTAAAACACCTTTTCTCCAAGGGAACAGCATTAACAAAAAGTGACCCTGTGGGAAATCTTACAGATTTCTTGGTAATATCATCTTAATCTATAAACGTATACTTTCTATTTCTCTTTGACTATAAAAAAATAAATTTTCACTTTAAGACAAATTTGTCCGAAGAAATAGAAAGATATACTCTTTACCAAGATAACTTTTTGGAAAACAGCATTTAAATAAGGTCAGGCATAATTACAAATAAATTACTCAGTTTTTTCTTTAACAGACATTATTCATGAAACATTTAATTCAAATAACTAAAAACAGATGAAAATAATTACAAGATTGAATATATGTAGGTTGGTAGGAGTGTTGAACTGTGACAGAAATAAAAATAAAACTCAAAACTGAATAAGAAAGTATTTGTAAGCATTGTTTTCACAACTTGTCTATTACTGTAGGTCAAACTTTACAGAGCAGACCTGTTATTCTCAGCGATAGGAAGAATGAGGAAGGGCTAAGAAAGCACAGAGCTCCAGCAGTAACATGACTTACTTAAACCACGACAAAGTGTAATATTAGTTATAATAAAGCAAAACGTAAAATTCCAAGACATAATGAATAATTGTGATCACATTAGCATCTGTGTACTTAATTTTGGGAAATTCAGTATTGTAAAATTATAAAGACGTGAAATCCTTTCTCATTTGTAAGACTGATATAAAAATTCTTCAGTCCTCAGAAAGTAAAATTAAAAAGTCAAAATACAACAAGATGTTAAAAATATCAATGGTTTTTAAATAGTCTTAATTCTTAAATTTTAAACTTATATCCATTAAATACTTTGATTTTTAAATTTAGTTCTTTTAGTTTAACATTTGAAGTACAGGAAAAAGATAATTCTTTTTGGGAAAAGATTCTAGAATATTTAATAACTGTAAGGTGAATAATTCTTAAAAATAAAAAAGAACAAGAAAAGAAAAAAAAAGAAGGAAGAGATTAGAAACCATTTCAATGAAATACCAGGTGGCAACACATAGTGGTTAAGAACCAGACAGGCTGGATTTAAATCCCACCTCTTTGTTTATTAGCTATTGGATTCTGGGCAAATTCCCTAATATCTCTGTGCTGAGTTGGTTACGAACATTAAACAAATTTGTAAGATGCTTATTAGCAAAGTGCCTGCCATATAGTATGTGATTTAGAAGTGTTTACTAGAATAAATTCTCACAAATGAGTATACATTTTTACACATCTAAATTTCCCTATTATCTCTCTAACCTATACCTGCAGAGAGAGAAAGAACTTACAAGAGAAAGGTGTCAAGTTTCATGCCATCACATACAACTATATAGAAGATCATTCTGGCATCATAAAGGCAAATATGCTAATTCTTCCAAACTTCCATCACTTGCTTTATACTAATCAGCGTCAATGTCTCTTTCTGAAGATGGCATATACATACAAACACATACATCTGTACTTATATGTACATACTCACACACGTGTGCATGTATGTATATATAATAATACTCATTTACCCAGCTTGAGAACCTATTCAAATTTTAAACAGAACTTTACATCCATTGTAGAATCACACATACTTATTTTAAAACCCACCATTACTTTCTCCTGGTTTTTCTTCTCCAAATGGTTCTTTTCATAACAGCATGAAGTAGCCCTTGCAGAGACAAGGTTCTTACATCTGAGTGTACTTAACATTCACTTACTTTTGTGTCTAAGACAGACATGATCATTTCCTTGGCCTCCTTAACGTCTTCTTTCTTTCCAGAAACCTTAATATGGGGATCTATAAGAAATAAAAAACAAATGACTCATATGAAACCCCCAAACTCGTTGTTTTAAAATTGATGTTACAATATAAGAAAAGAGATTCCATAAGAAATTCAATATCTGATTCATTCTAGGTGTGTTAACATTGTAATTAAGAGAGGAATATGGAAAATCCCCAAGTTGTACATTTTTCTGTGTGGCGTTTTCCCTTCTGAAAGCTTGTTAAACCATTTAACTGCAAAATAAGTTTGTCATATAATTATATTTTAAACGAGTGAAGAATCTATAAATGCAATTTATTACTTACTACATTCTTGCTACATTCCAAGCCCTGATCTAAGGCTTTAAATGCATTAACTCATTTAATCTACCCCACAGCTTTGCAAGGTTGTTTCCAGAGGAAATTAAGGCACAGAGCAGTTTAGTAACTTGCCCTAGAAAACCACTCAGAGGCTCATTCATTATAATCCAATGTCTTCCAACTCTGGATCCACTTTCAAACCATGTGATAATGTAATTCAGAAGGTATCTTTACACGTCAAGATTAACAGAATAAAACATTATCTTCATTCAGGAATATTTAATATTTATTCAGAATTAGTGTTAAATGACTAATATATGTATTACTACATATATTATTGATTACTGGCACAGAATGTTATAAAGGAAAACATTCATTCATTCATTCATTCACAGCAAGTATTTTCTGAACCTCTACTATGTACCAGGCACTATTCTAGGGGCTGGAGTTTATGTCAGTAAAGAAAAAGACCCTTGTCCACATGGAGCTTACAGTCTTGTACAGGGAGACAAAAATGAATCAAATAAATTATCATTTAATGTACTCGAACATAACTTATGAAAAGGAGAACAAGACAAAAGGATGAAGAGTACCAGCTGTGGGAGGGGGTCAGGGCATTAGGCCTCATTGAGAAAGTGAGGTCTGAGTAAAAGCTTAAAGGAGGTGAGGCAGTTCGTGAAGCTGGAATCCTCACAAGGAGGGAAACATCACAGCTAAAACTCCAGACAAGGATGTGTCTCTTCAGGTCTCTCTTTCGTCAGGTTTTCAAGTCTTCCCCACAACAGCATGTTCTATTACCCCATGGGTCGGCCTGACAGAGACCAAGACCATTTGGGGTAAGCCAGATGTTCTACACCATTAGCCTTGGTGATAAAGTGTTATCACTAAAGTGATAAAGCTGAATAACAGAGAGAGCATCGTCATCACCATCACTAGTGATGGCAACCTTACTGACTGCCTACAACACACCACCTTCTCTGCTGAGTCCTTCCTACACTGAACTATACTTCAGATTAGCAACAGGGTCAGGAAATGTTTGCTGAGCATTTTTTACAATTAACAAGCCATTCCAACTGAGTCCTTCCAAACCATCAATTCTCTAGAATAAGACAAGAGAATTACACCTGGTGGGAATTTTATCAAATTACACATACTTCCCTGATATTGTGACTTACCTATCCCCATGCAACAGTCCATTTGAAAATCAATGCCATGAAGAGCATGTCATACTCTTAAGGTAAAAATGAGCAACTAAATAGAGAGAGGAAGAAAGGGAGGAAAGGAGGGAAGGAGGGAAGGAGGGAGGGAGGGAGGAAACCTTGTCCTAAAGCTACAGGCTCTTAAGACCAGGACAGAGCAATCATAGTCAACAACAGTGCACCACCAAGCTTCAGAGCTCAGGAATGCATCTGGCCTCCCGAGGAGACATCCCAGCAAGCTGTGCTTAATTTGAGTCAGTGCTGTCACCTCCAGCCAGCCCCCGCCCCCGCCCTCTGCAGACTGTCTCCTGGGAGCTGCCCCTGGCCTCAGACTCTTCTCCTTACCGTGTTCTTTAACCCTCCTCTGATGCTGGCCATGTCACAGGGACACTGTGAAGACGAAAGATCCTAAGATTGGTTTAAACCTTCTAAAATGTTTAAGTGTCAGGTATTAGAGGTGACGGGCCTAAAAGTAGGGCAAAACGGATGTCAAACAACCTCAGGTCAGTATGGCATCGTGTTCACATTGCTTACTCCTTAGTGAGTCCTAACATGAACCTCTTTTCTCCTCTAAGATTCTCACCAACTTTAACATACTTATGTAAACAAAGCATTTTCTTCAATAGTTCTTATTACATCCATTGTAACTCCTCCAGGCAATACTTACATTACGAGCTATCTACATTCAAAGTTTTGATCCCTGCTATCTTTGACTTTGGTTTCAATTACTGTCAGCTGATCCTGAGGTTAATCTCCACTGAAAATGCTTACTACTGGGGCATTAGAACCTGGCATTTCTCAAAACATACCTGATCGCACTCAAATGTAGCACTTCCTAAAATATACGTTCCTGGGTCTCCAGGATCTGGTAATTGGCATTTTGTTTGTTTCCCAAGTCATTTTTCAATCATGTATAGGACAGAACAGGGGAAACCACATAAAAAATATAATTGCAGTGTCTTATGTATCAGCCAAGTATATATAACATAAAATGGTTCTACAGGGGAAAAATGTATTTTCTTACAAAATAAATTAACAGTTAAGTACTGAGTGGTATGCTAATCTGAAAACCTATTACTTGTACAGGTTGGATAATCACATTAAAATTCATGTGCACCTGTAGAGGGACAGGAAGCCTCAGATCCAATTTATGAAAGAATTTTATTTTCTACCATCTCAGTATCAAAAGAACAATAAAATAAAAAGCAAAAGTCTCAATGGAAAATACATTTTATTTCAAAGTGAAAGAGTGCCATCTAGTGACCTAAAAATATAAATTATCAATGGACATAGAGATAACACAACACACAGTCACCAACATGTAACATCAAGAAAATCTCCAGGACCCAAATCAGCACTTGTTTGGAAAATGGTTCTTTAAATAATCAAGTCTCATAAGTACAGAGAAAAACAATCACGACAATATTCTGGTTTAGACTGCTAATGTGGCCAATAATAGTGTCTTCCTCATTCCTTCCTTTGCCCTTGCTTAAAAGATACCTACAGGATGTGAGCCCTTATTCCAGGCTGAACTTAATGTGTTTATTTCAAACCCTGAAATTCAGTTCTTTATATTCAATGAATGTTATATTTCACAATTTAAATGTATCTGTGCAAGGGGCTGAGGTTTTACTTAGGATTGGTTATATTAATAAACATAAGAGAATAGGGTCAGCTATGAAGGTGGCTGGAAGACAACAGAGTAATAAGGAATAAGTGTATATAGTCTTCCCCTGCCTCAAAATAACTGCTTTGAGGGACACCACCAATTTGGGCATGAAAGTTTTGAGATATTTGCTCTAAAAATAGTATCCACTGCTTTATAATCAACCCTCAAGCTCTCTAAATACAAGGATTGTCTTAATTGGTTTTAAAACTTCACAGTGCCAGACAAGTAGTAGATACTCATTAAACAGTAGGTGAATGGGCTGAAGGTGCCCCTATTTTTGGAAATGGCTACAGAGACGGAGGAGATGGAAATCCATGCGAAGAGCCTAAACTTCATATCTAAGGTGGATCATATGTCCTGCACTTCCCAGAGCAGTTTTGACTTCAAATATTTTTAACTCAGTACCTCTATAAAAATACAGAGAACTCTCAGATGTCCATCCAGATTTTTGATTTTTAGATTCCTGCCCTATCAATCTGTTCACATCTCTGTGGTGTAATCCTATGGAAGAGAGGAAGACCAGATGGTGATCCAACCTTCAATAAGTTATTATGAAGCTGTATGGACATGGGTAAGAAATGGGTATTTTATATGTTTATACTGCAAAAGAGCTAAACCTTCGAGCAAAAAAAGGTTTTTATGACTTCCATATGGAAATTCATAAGGAGTTGATAAGGCAACAATTGTTTTTATAAGAATACAGGCTAAAAACCATATTTTCAGTAAAGATATATATTTAAAAGGGTTGGTATGTTTATATGAACTTAAGTGAAGTTTAGTTATGGTTTTAAAAGATTATCTCTTGGTACTCTGGTTGTACTCTCTGGTTTCCCATCCTTGGAAACATTCCCATTCCTGGAAACATTAGTATAAATTTTTATTGCCTTTTCCTTCTCTCCTCAACCTTAAACCTCCTTTCCATTTCATTCCTATCCCAGAGCAAAATCTACAGGAAAGACTTATGTCAGCCCTTTCATTGTATTTATTATGCTATAGAAAGTAATGGGTTATTGACATATGATGAATTTAAGCCATCACAGTTTCACCAATGATCCGTTGACAGCTACTTTCCTGTCTCCATGACTGAGTTGTTCCGAAAAGATTCAACACGAAAAAATCAAAGCAATGCTTTCAATCTCAGCAGGTTCTCTTGGAGAGAGAAAACAATAGAAAATCCCTTGTTTAACTAACCTGACTCCTCCCACCCACAACACCCAAAATAAAAGACATAATATTAGAGTTGCACTTTTGTTTATGGGGAAAAGTTCCATATCATGGCCTGAAATCAAGATGGCTTTGGTACATTTTATGAATCTATATAAAACTGTCAAACTGGCCTCAAATCCGTAAGAAGAGAGCAGTGGACAGAATTCACCTTCTTTTGGCTTGGAGCTCTCTTCACTTTTTATTTCAAGTTCTTCCTAAAAAGTCTTAGCCTTGAAAACCATCTAAGAGGAAGGACATTGGCTGGGGCTGGGTCCATCAACACTGTTAGAAGTGGTCAGCGTTGACAGGCAGAGAGGCATCTCTAACTTCCTCTGAAATTCCCTACAACCACTGAGAATATATCCATAGCTAGCAAGTAGTTAGTTCCAAAGTAGTAATGGGCAATTTTTTTTTTTTTTAATAAGGAAGACTGACTGTAGGGTAAGGATTTTATCAAACAGACAATATAAACCAAGACTCAGAAAAAGCCCTGGACATCTCACGGGTACTGGCCGACTTGGATCATATAAGGAAATGCTCTGAAAAGCCAGCAGATATCACACAGAATATATTAAAAGTTTTAATGACTGACTCTGCAATAGATTCCTTTCACATTGTGGGGGAAAATATATAGATTCCAC